GAGGGGCAGAATCCCCTCCCTTGACCTGCTGGTCACGCTTCTTTTGATGCAGCCCAGGATACGGTTGGCTTTCTGGGCTGCCAGCGCACATTGCTGGCTCATATTGAGCTTCTCATCCACCAGCACTGCCAAGTCCTTTTCCTCAGGGCTGCTCTCAATCCATTCTCCGCCCAGCCTGTCCTTGTGCTTGGGACTGCCCCGACCCACATGCAGGACCTTACTCTTGGCCTTGTTGAACTTCATGAGGTTCTCACAGGCCCACCTCTCCAGCCTGTCAAGGTCCCTCTGGATGGATGCCATCGTGTCCACAACACTACACAGCATTATGTTGGTTTTACACAAGAGATATAGAGTTGGTTTGAATATGTTACCTGCATGGTATGCTTTCTGATGCAAGAGGATTTGCTAAATGAAAACACAACAGTCTCAGCAGTTGAAGTTTCAGTCTAGACAAATTGAGAGTAGCTGTAAGATTTGAGTGTATAGCAATGAAAGCACCAGCTTCTGAAATTATCCATTACTTACGGCCTTTAAATCAAAACTGGATTTATTTCTGAGGTAAATCCTGAGTTTCACCTAGGAAATTGTGAGCTTGATGCAGGAATACAGATGAAATTTTATTATCTATACTATTTAGAAGGTCAGGTTGAGTAATCATGATGCTTCTCTCTGACCTTAAAATACAAATCCATAAATTGCTTTATGAAAGTTTTCAGTCATTGAATTCTTTTGATGTAGTCAAGATTACCCTAACCATCAAGGATGGCATTATTTCAGGGTATAGAGTAGGCCCTAATGTTTCCCTTTGGTTTTTGTGAGCTTTTGCTTCTGTCAGGAATTCGGGTAGCATATGAATATCATTCATAGCCATAACTGGAGTGTTTGCTTTTGATTCAGCAGCATTTTCTGTCTATTGGACAGATACAGAGAGGGAGTATAAGGACTCAATGAGAATAAGGACACTGATCAGCATTTTAATCAGGGGTTTCAGCATACCAGTAGACCAGCCTTTAACCGTTTTGCAGGCCATGGTGGAAGGAAGTTCTGAGAGAATAAACTGAAGGCTGTAGTGAGGTTTTCTTAGATGTGAGAGGCAGCATGAGGGGGGGCAGAAAGATGCCTAAAAAGGAAAAAAACCCCAACTTTAGGAAATCAATGATGGAATCAGAGTAACAACAGAATGCAGAGTAACAGAGTACAGAGTAACAACAAAAATACAAGTTATTGCTTTTACTGATCTACAGATGACAAAAAAGGACTGAGAAGGATTTGAAAGCAGAGGAATATCTTATATTTGAATCAGCTTCTCTTTTCCTATTACTTTGAAGAATGGGATAATGTTCAAAGCAAGAAGCTGTGATCTTTACAGCAGCGCTTTGAATGAATGTGAATAGAGCAAAGTGATGCTTGTCTAGGCTGGATAAGGAAATGGATGCTGCAGCAAGTGACGTCTGAAATTAATACTAGGCTTTAGCTTTGTAGAGAGATTAGAAAAACACTTTAATTTTAGAATGTTGTGAATGATACCTGTGTTCTGAGTCTGCGTGAATGATGGATTGCTAGCCATAGTGATGAAGTAAGGAAGTGTAGTGGGAGGCCATGAAGGTTGAAAAGGGTTGAATCGTAAGATCTTTATCTTTCAGCCTCACTGAGGTAGCACTGGCAGCTTGACATCCCAAAGAAGAAGTTCATCTGATATTTTGTTGGTGCAGAACAGAGTGATGAATCATGATCTGATTCATTACCATGGAGAGGGAACCTGTGCATGCTCTTTGACTAGAATATTGCTAGAAATAGAGGAACAAGAGAAAAGAGTAGAGGACAGAACCCCTTGAAATACCCAGGAAGCTGAAGGAATTAGATGGGAGTGGAACGAGGAGAGACGAATTGTAGAAGCTATGGGAGGATGGGATTTGGAGAAGAGAATGATTTGGTTTTCAAGAAGTAGCCAACAGGCTGAGGAAATTGAGAGTGAATCTGAGCTTTATGAATCAGTAGAAATTTGGGGGGAAGAAATTTTTACATTGAGAGCTACATTCCCCAGAGATGAAGAGAATTAATGTTTAAAAAGAAGTCTGTACCAAAATTCCTTGCTGAATTCATTTAATCCTCAAAATCTAGAAAACGAAATTCTTTGGAGCACTGCCATCTAGTGGCACTATCTATCATCATCTTCTGTTTTTAATTTCTAAAACTGGTTGCCTTATGTGATGCTTGAAGGTCAAAGGTGTCATTTACCTGCCACTAATTTAGGTCCGTTTAAACTGTTCACATTTCATTACTGACCAATTCCCTGCATTTAGCTGACTTCACAAATGCAAATGATCTGTTTGGAGGTAAGCGTGATTTCTGTGTAGTGGATAGTAAAATTTGAGTTACATTGTCAACTGGTTAAATAGCAATAGATTTATCTTTAGTTTTTTTCACTAGTTCTGAATTATTCTGTGGAAGAATCTTGTTTGACTGTCAAAGAACCCTACAGTGGTAGGATTTTGTGGTAGCTTAGATCAGGAAAGCGATAATTTTCTTGCATTAAAGTCTTGTCTTCACTATGAAAAATATCCACGCGTTTAAAAATACATAAAATTTTTCATTCATGTCTGCAAAAAACATCTTGTAGAGCAGGGTGTATCAATTTATCAAGATGTAAACTTCCCAAAGTCAGCTACAACTCTCTTCTGGAATTGACTAATTTTATTTCATCAGATAGCAAAGGTGCCTTGCTTTTGCTCTCTTGTTTAATCTCGGCAGTCTGTGGACATCAGTTATCTGAGAGTTAAAAAAGCTACTTTTTTTATCCATGAAGACAAGTATTAAGCTAAATATATTTTTATGAAGGTTATATATGGATAGTCAAACCTGTTCCTGGCAGATATCCTACAAAAATTTTAACGAGATTTGTAGCTTCATGTTATGTTTGTTAAGATTCCTTCATGCAGGAGTGCCTGCATCTCCCTGAGATATTCTGATTTTACATTTTTTTACCAGTAGATGGAAACAGAATATTATTAGATCAGTATGATTATTACTTGAAGCTTTCCTCCATGTTCCTTCTCTCTTCCTGAAATGAAAAGTGTAAATGTTGTTTCACATAAACTCACAGTTGATTACTTAGTATAAACTCCTGGAACTGAAAAGTATTTATGACAAAAGTGCCCTAAAAGAGGGGAAGCTCTTTTTACACTGTTCACTTAAAACACTTTTAACTGCCAAATGCTAAGGAATATTTTAATTGTTTTATACCTTTTGTATCTTGTATAACTTTACTTGAGATTCCTTTTATGTGGATACCCACCTTGAAGAGTCAGCACCACCAAATACTTAGATGTAAAGAAAAAACTAGGAAGGCCAAACACTTGTCAAAAGTTAGATTTTCAGTTCTTGTTTTTCTTCTCTTTAAGAAATAGGTATTTTGTCAAAGTTTCCACTTGAAGAAAGGAACATTCCAGAAAGAGTTCAAGAACTACTCCTAGATCCATAATCTTTCTCTCTATGTAAGAGCTACAACTTCTGGGCTAGTGCCACATTTTAAGGATTCCTTTTTAACATCCAAACGTACTTCAGAGGGCATTTTGTTTGCTAAATCCAATGGCTGGTTCTCAGTTATGTTAAGATGCCCCCCTTGACACAGTGTTCCGATAATTTAAATAGATCTTAAAATGGAAATACATTGCAATTAGCATAAATGAGAATCAATTCCACTATAGCAGATATGCATCTGTTGTGGTTTAGCATCTGACAGTGAAATTGCAAGTAACACTTGCAAAAAAAGAGAACACTTTAGTTCCATGAATGCACAAAGAAACTTCATTATTAATTTAGTGTTTGCAGAAAAACTACCCCAAACCTGACTAACACCAGTAGATGTCAGTGTTGGCATGTGCCAATGTGTTGAGAAGAGTCAAGTGTTCCATGTAATGTGCATTTTAATATGGATACTGAATATATGAAATTTAGTGTTTTTTCTTGTTCTTTTGTATATATATTACATATTTCACCATTTATTGCATTCTGTGCTTATAATTGCTAGTACAGTAAGAACTGTATAAGTGAGAACTTAGGTCATTTTTTACTATAAAAATAACTGAGAAGAATAGCAAAAAATATAAATGTAATTTTTACTTTCTGTTAAATAAAAATATTAATTATAATTTTATATATAAATCCTATAAAGCATCTATTTAAGCAATAAGTGTTAATAGTTGTTGCTGCTGATCTCCAAAATAGTTTTACCAGCTTGGTAGTAATAATAGATTCTTCAAATTTGGATTTCCTTTTAGAGGTGCCAGGAACAAAGGAAATAGAGGTAGAACAGTTATTACAGCATTTTTTATGTGTGTGTCTATATATGCATATATAAACATGCTTATGAGTTACTGTTTTATGTAAGTGTTCACTGTTTTTGGAAATCGAAATTGTAGATAGATAGGAAATTGGGATGTGTAATTACTTCAAACTACAAGTTTCTAAAGTGAAATATTCCTTTTGTGAGCTGCTTGCCATAGGCAGATTTGTTTTAAAAGGGGGCAAACAAAAAAATAATCATAATCCAGTCCCCAAGTAATCAGAAAAGGTGTGGTTCAAAACCAGCTAGACATTCTTGCTGAAATCAGTTCTCTTTGGCATTTAAGTGTATCTGACTGTAAGCACAGCACTTCAGTGGTGTATTTGTCATGCATGAAGTTATGTATGTAATGCATTTCATACTAATTTAGAGCTTAGTGTTATAGTTTTCTTGCAACTTCTGTAATATACACCATGGACCTGATCATGAAAGTCGTTTTAAAATTATTTGGTGTGTGACTACAAAAATTACAAGTTTGGCACCAGGTCAGTCATTTCAATCTGTGGTTTAGGAAAAAAAAAGTTTTATTTGTAATTTATTTCTAATTTGATTTGGCTTTTAGCTAATTTTATTTGTCTTTAACAACCAAGCTATTTTTGTGCTGTTAATACCTAACATAATCAGAGTAATTTATTAATCTTTTATGTTGCTGCAGAATTTGTTATGAAGGAGTTCCTATTTCAGAGCAGTTCCAGAAAAATCGGACAGATGGAATTCACTTTCTTCCGTCCCATACATCAAAAAGCGTAACTGAATGCCAAAAAGTAGTTGAATGCTGTCCTAAAAAGCCAGAACTGCAACTGTTAGGACAGAAGGTAAGAAGTAATTTTAATAAATGTGTACTGTACACGCACAATCCTCCAAATGAAGACACTATCTGGGGGAAACAGAGATGTTTTTTGTTGTTGTTGTTGTGTTATGCAACAAAAGAACAGAACACTTCGGAAATAAAGTTCTGCTGATTTTTCAACATTTGACAATATGCCATATAAAAATGTATGTGGAGTTTTTCAACAATGGGGAGTGTTGTTCTGAAACCTCATGCCTCAGTGCTTAATTCCTTCTCTGAGGTAATAAAATATGGTAATGTGCTAATTAGTAACAAACAAAAACACTAAAAGAGCAAACGAGGTAGTTCATTCAGGCTGTAGAGCCCTACACCTCTTGGGATTTCTTTGTATTTGATGGAGTTGTTCCTGTCAAAATCATGTTTAGCGGAAAATAGCTAAATTTATCACCTAATAGTTCAGATTCAGTATAGGGATTTATAAAATGGGTTTATGTTAGCTGATAACTGAATTGTGTTGATTTTCAAGGTTTCCATTTATCCAGAAGCTTTAAAAATGTTTTGGGCTCCAGCTCCACCAAAATTCTCTGCTCCAATTTCTTCCTTAAAGGAAATTTTATTTCCTTCATATGAGGTAAATATTTTAAATGTATTTTTAGTGTTCCAATCTTTTGCAGATATATGCATCTTTTTCTAACATTATATTTATTAACTGTGATAGTTGTATTTTATGCTGTTATTTTATTAACACTTCTGTATATTGTAAGTACTGTATATAAGTTATTGTATATTTTGTAATAATACATATTTAATAGTATTGTTTAATTTAATTTTCTACAATAATAAAGTTTCTGGTAGTAATAATTCTTAATTTCCACTTGCTATTACATTATCTTGCTTAATGTCTTTATATGTATGTTGAAAGCTACTTTTGTGTAGTTTTTATTCTGCTATGCCATGCTGGGAGTGACTTCTATTAAAATATAATAATATATTTCTTACTTTCTCATTTCAAGGCTTATTTTAGAAAATGCCAATGTTTTTGAGTTTTGAAATGTTTTAAATGTAAAATCCCCACTGTGATTACATTATTGCAAGAGATGAGGTGTTCATGTAAAAGAGTATGCCTATTGTATGCCTGTATTTGTAGCACTCTGCACCTTCATATGACAAAGGTTCCGGAGAAACTAGCATTTTGTGACCAGTTCACACTCCTGTGCAAAAGATAAAGTACATTTATGCACGGATTAATTGATAGCAGGAGTAAGCCTGGCATAGAGCAGGAGTAAGCCTGGCATAGTTCACCACTTCCTAGCCTTACTATGACCAAATGAACAGCTATGTTCTTCTTACTATATGGACTACTGCAACCTGACATAAATTACCAAAGCTAAAGATAAAAACTTTAGACAATCAGGTAGCAGTAATCAGTTTCCTCAGCTCTCTGCCTCTTTTTCACCTTGTAATTCCTGATCATATTAAAGAACGTGCTCCATCAGTAGCCCAGGGTAAATGGGTTCTGTGATCTTGGTCTAGATCATCATAAATTTTAGCTCAAATATGTTATAGTCTTTATTTATTTATCTGTTACTATGTTTGCTATAGCTGACTAAAATAACAGTATTGCACACATTCAAATATGCAAATATATTAATATTTCAGAGCCATAGTATTGAGGATGTTGTATTTGAAGACTTTTTCGCTGATCATGAAGAAGAGTTAGAAGCTGAGCAAGATGAGAATGATTTATATGATTATGGACTGGTGTGTATTACGGTACAATTTTTTAAAATGTAACACTAAAAATTAGGATTAGAGAAACAATTTGTAGTTCAAAGTTCTAGTCATAAAACAAAATAGTTCTATATAGTTGACTTCTAGAAACAATTTTATGTTAGGCATTTATTCATTTTTTAAAAGGTGGATAATGCTAAATCTCATTTTTTGAAACTTGAGACTGTGCTTGGAAAGAGTCATTGCATGTTTTAAAGATGCTTCTTATTTTGCATTATTATAGCACTAGGTGAAGATTTAGAGGAGAGCCTGTGAAATAAATAACAGATTTCGAGTAATATGAATCTCAATGGCGATGTTCCACTATGCCCAGACATCTAAAAAAATGCAAAGGTCAAGAAGCAGAATAGGGGAAAAGAGATATTTCCAACAGTGTTATTTTTTTTATCTAGAATTTCACTGACTGTAATATTAAAGGATAGACAAACAAGTGTATGCAAGTGATTTGTAAGGAAAAGGTTTAAGTATAGTTCTAAGCTGCAGTGTGGGTCTTTCCAGCTACAGAATCTTGACTATCTCGAACATCGTTGATCTAGTTCATGGAGGCAATGTAGGAAATGAGAGCCAGAGGCTCCACAGAGAATTTGAAGCGCCTAATAATAGTGTTCAGTTATATGTGTTTACATAGGGTTAGCTATTTCAAGTGAATAGATCCGAGAGATGAAAGTGGGTAAAAGCTTACCCAAATCCCACGGGAAGTAAGCTGAAAATATTTCTTTACCAGAGAATTTGAGGTACTGCTAAGTGTTCCAGTAGTTAAAACACAGCTGAAACCTTGGAACTGTCCAATGATGTTGCTGAGACCTCAGCTGGAACTGAGGAAAACTAATGCATGAGTGGATGTATTTGCAGTCAGAGATGGGCAAACTGAGGCTAGCACATTATTATTGCATCTGAGCTCCCAGGTGTAATTTAGTGTTTGCAGGCATTGTTTTATATTAAAATTTAGGGCTCCATCCCCAAGTTTGGACTTGCAGTTAAGCAGTCAAGATCTGTTGGATAATGTGTTTCCTATTTGAAGGTGAAACATGCTGGGCAAGACATGCTCACTTTTGTCCTTGAAAGAAGTTTTTTTAATACTGACTATGGCTATCTGAGAATGTGCCATGCAAAAGTATGTGATTTATAGGTGACATGGAAGTGGAGCAAAAAGAAAAAATTCAATTATGATAAAGGAACACTTGCTGGTTTGAATGTTTCTTGCAGGAGCTGGCTAGAAATGATGAGGAGAATCTTATTTAGTATGTCAAAAAAGAAGAATTCTGCGATCAGCTTTGCAAATCTCCATCCTCTGACAGCAGCAACTTAAAATAGTTATTTTGTGTTTGACTAAAAACTATTTGGAATTTTGCATCTGTTTGACTTCAGGCACAAAGAGGTTATAGCTGTTTATGTAACTTTAAACTGTTTTGGAATTGTCCAGCAGAGATGAAGAGTGCTGGTAGTCCTTTGCCTACAGGTTGAATGGGCCACTAGATATAATAATTGAAAGTAATAAAGTCTGCAGTTACTAAAATACTATATTTTATTCTATGCTTACTTGAGGACCTATTTGGAATGTTTCTTTTTTACTAAAAAAGAAAACTTGTTATGGTGCAAGTAGGTCTATTAACAACAACAATTAAAAAGAGATGAAGCACATACAGATTCTCAGGAAGAAGTAATATTCTCATTGGAAATTATGGTTGTGGTAATGTTATGCGGCCATTTTTTTGTTGGGGATTCCCAAGATAGGAATGTGACTGTCATTTAATGCTAAGTGAATATGACACTTTTAAGAAGTGTCTGGCTTAAAATATTTCAATTGGAAAGACATCTCCAAACAAGCATTAAATTCACTAGGTGATCAACAGCATGCATATTCACAGTGTGTTCTGAGATTGGAGCATCTGCAGCACATACACAGAGCATGTCCACTGACTGTGCTTGCTCTTTAGCACTAATCTATGTGAGTACATTGAATGTGTGTCGGATTTTTTGACATCTAACAGTGGAATGCACTTAAGACATCCAGAAATCCAGACAAATGCAGTCTTTACTTCACTCTGACAAAAGTGAGGGGTATTTATTGGTGAAAATATGAATTTATTTGGACATTGGCTCTATTTTTGTCAGTCTCTGCTTTTAAAAGCAGAATGTATCCGAAAGCTCTATTTGTATGAGGCTCAGACTAACTTAGACTTATTTTGCTTTTTGTTTTATCTATAGACAAAAAGTTTACTGAGAAGGTGCCACTCCTTGCCCAATTTTTCTGACAGCGAGACCTCAGAGGTATTATTTTATATTTACTTGTATTTGTTCCCGCACTGTGATTTTGTGGAAGAAATTCTTCCACAGACCTAAATTGAACTTAATATGTTCCTATTAGATGCAAAAGTGAGAGTCTCAAAGGTCTTTTTCAAGTGAATTGGCTACGTTAAATATGAGAACATAGCTCTGCAATGAGAGCTCCTGTTAACTTCACAGACATTTGGATAGAGATAAGTGTGAGTAGTCTGTACTCCAGCTGTCCTGAAATGAGTGGAACAACATGTCCGAGTAAAGGGCTGCGGTATCAGGTCCTTGAATTTCAGACATATCAGGGCATCAGTGTTGTCAAGTTTCCAATCTGTAAAGTGCTATGTAGTTTTACGACTACTGAAGTTAAGCTGTTTCACAAAATACATAAAGCAGTAATAAACGGTGCAAACTTTACACTTGTGCAAAGATGACCTTGATAGCATTATACAAGTAATCTTTTATTAAAAAAATTGATTTTGAGTAAGAATTTGAGGAGCATGTATTTATTTAGAACTTCTATATAGTCCATAAAGACCTGCTTAAAATGTTGTGACTATGTTATTTTAGACAGATATGAATCATGGCGGCAGTTTGTATGCAACGATAAATAAAATAATTTAAACACCAGATTTGCAATTTGAACTAAGTATGATTTTTTATTTTATGATTTGAACTAAGCTTGATTTTTAAAATACTAGTTTCATGTCCGAATAGAAGTAATGTTGAATTCAGCTATCAATCCTTTAGCAAAAATTTGCATAGTTCATTAAAAGAATTTATCAAGTAACAATTCAATATTTATGCAATTTGCAGTCAAACTATTTGATTTGGTGATAAATGACAGCTAATGATAGATATGTATGACAAATGATAGCTTCACACTGAGTTTCAGCTTTTTAATACACCAGTATGAAGTGTAGATTTAAAAAAAATATTATTTTCATAAAGAAAAGCGGCACACTTGTGACATTGATATTTCTTTTTATCTTTTCAAAACTTCACAGAGGATAATACATTACTACAAATAAAGAATGAAAAGTATTTAGTTACTTAAATGGAGTGCTTTAAATTCTTAACATAAACTAAAGGCTGATGCAGCGTCTTTTTAATAAATATATAAATTAAATAATTCTTAGCAGATATCTCTAACCAAGCATTGAAAAAGTGCTTATTTGATCTAATTAAAAAAAAATTCAAAATTATTCAATGTTTCATCTATTTTTTTCATTGATTTGATTTATTACTAATAAGTGTTTCCCTTTGTAAATTTCAGGCAGTGGACATAAAATTGCATTTTAATTTCTTTGACAAAGATTTATTATGCCTAGATTTATAGTGCAAATTAGTGATCTGGAATTAACAAAAAGACAGAAGCAATACATTTGTTATTGCAAATAGTACTTGCTTGATAAGCAATAATAACTAAACACCAGAGAATAACAGTTATTCTTTTGATTTTGATTTAGACAGACGATTCAGGGATGGGGGCACAAATTATGACGGTGCATAATTCCATTTAAGATATTAACTGTGTTTCAATATAATACAATTGTACTTCCAAACATTTTACAGAGTCCTCCTCTCTTTTCTTCTGAGTTCATGAATGTATCTTCGTTCATCTTTTTGTGAATGTCACCTCCAGAGGCGTATATGGTTGATTTTAAAATTTAACTTTCCTACAAGAACTAGGGGTATTTAATTCATATTTCTTGTGATACTTTTTAGAAAAGATTGATTTTAGCCCTTTATGAGCTTTTGAATTAGTGTTTCAGATCTCTTTGCTTTGACACATATCCCAAAGTATGCAGATCTTTTCCCATTAAATACTATAATTTTTTTTCAACAGTGTAGTCCCCATCTCTCTCTTTTTTTCTCTTTAGAATTTTATATAAAATAAAATCCAGTCCGTTAAAACTAAGGAAATGTGATATATAAATCTTACTTCAAATGAACATCTAAATAAATTAAATTTCCTTTTTTTTAACAGACAAGTTTGATTAAAAGATCAGTCTCAGCTCTGGAGATGACTGCTTTCAAAGATGAAACTACGTTAAATATGTCAGCTAATTTCAAAACCAGCATGCAAGAGTTGAAGGTTATGAAGCAATGGATAGCTGAGCCAGAGGTTGAGACAGAGATCGGGAAAAGCTCCCCTACCAAGCATCTATTGAATCAAATCTGTGATGATCCTCAGTCAATGCAGACAGACATACCAGTAGAAAAAACGCCTACTTTGACTGGACAAGAGGATAGCAAGAATGACATTCTTCTTGTGGAGCAACCTCAAAAGGCTGGAATTGAATACACTGTTTTCCCAAGAAGAAAGAAAACAAAGAAATCAAAGAAATCAAAGAAAATAATAAACCTTAGAAAATTAGAAGCTGTGATTAAGAAATTAAATCAACCCCCAAAGATTCTTAAAAGGTTTTCTTTAAATAATGTGTATTGCCTTTTTAAAGAATGTATTTTAATTTGTAGCCATATTATCTAAATACAGGTTTTAACTTTTTATTGTTAACTATTGCTCTGAAATTAAGTAATAATAGTTTGGTTATTTAGGAATAATGTATATTTTTTAATACAAAGAAAACATACATACTGCTCAAGTATCTTTAGGACATTTAGTATATACTATGCTTGAAACAGAAATGGTGTTGCTTCATGCAACAAAAGAAAAAGCTTTATCTAAGTATAAATGCATAATTAAAATGATCAAACTTCTTTCTTTGGAAAGACAAGGAGGAAATTCTAAGTTCTTAGGAAACCGAAATGCTAGGCTGAACTAACCTCCTTTGTACCATGAACTTTGTAGATTACATCAAACAAGTAGTTTGCTTTTTGCCTTTTGTTTTCCTGTATCACTCTAAATATTTTTCTAGTGAATGCTTGTTGTTTACGTACTTCTGATATGGGGTACCTTAGAAAATATTCAAGCAGTAAGAAAAAAAAGAAAATATATTAATGTTCTTGCTATTTTTTGATATTTCTTAAAATACTTATGCTTGAAGTGTGACCTGCAAAAAGATCTCAAATGTTGTCTTTTTTTGTGTACAGTTATATGTTATGTGTCCACATTATACTTACACTGATGCTCAGGTCTGGTCCTTAAGGCCAGCTTTCCATTCAGCTTCTCCTGTTTTCTGCTTTTAGGCACCTTTCAGTATGTTTATTCCTAAGAAAATCAAACATACTTAAATGGTGTGATATACTGGTATAGTGAGCTGTGACTAAGGGACAAGGGGGCCTTTTCCCAAAGTCTTGTTTTAGACAGCAGTACTGTATGTTCTTTGCGTTCTAAGGCTTTCATATCAGTTTTGCTAAACCAAGAGATCTTCATCTTTATACCGTTTTGCATGTCATTCATGCATGGACCTCCTACATTTTAAATTAAATTTCCTTTTTTTTTTCCTACAAGGATCGTTATGTATAAAATATTGTAAATATTAGGTACATAGGATTATGAATATATATATATCTGTATAAAATATTTTCTCTATATTCCCTTCTGGTATTTGCTTCTGTGTAAGCAAGGCTAGTGTTTGTGATAAAGATTAAGCTTTTCTGTTAAAGACTTCTGTTTCTTTAACTTTGAAGTCTCAAGCAGATGTTGACAGTGAACATTTGTGAAGGTTCTCATCTTGGAAGCGATGAGTTTTCCCAGATTATTGTTTTGGAAATGCCCTTGTAAATTCAAGTGTTTTTTTTTTTTACCCCTGAGTGGTGCTGCTTCTGCTTGTAGTCTCATGGCCTCTTCCTAATATCATTGGGATCCATCATTGATATGCATCCAGGATTTATCATCATTTAGCCAGGCTGGTAATGGCCACTTTGAAATATTGTGCTTTCTATAGGTTTATCACTGTCCTTGTAAACCAAAGTTAGAAGCTCTTGGATGAAATAAGCATGCAACTGCAAATAAGTGCTGAAGGTTCTGGGGACATGAATCATTCAGAACAATTGTGCTTACTTGCAGCTTCAATAATGGTTTTGATAAATGACTGATAAATTAAAAAATTATCATTAACAAGAGAGCTAGCAATAGTTTTTTTAATAGTTGCTGACTGACAGAGTGCAATTTGATATCATTAATATATCTAGGAACCTTTATTTAATTTTAATATGTTTTTCCTCAGGTCTGTGTCTCTGGGAAGGCTTCCTATTCATGATACATTCAGTATCAAAGTGTCTTCAGCAATCAAACAATATCAGAGCCCCAGCATCCCTTGTTTGTTAGATTTTGAAAAGTTTGCAGAAGTGAGAGGTGGAATTCCAAAAGAAATTTCTGCCCGCATGTGGGTCAGTGGAATATGGAACTGCTGGTTTGATGAAACTTTCCCTCCTTCTGAGACTGCTTCTGGGGAGGATACTGAATTACAAAAAGGAACTAAGATGGTGGACTCTCAAGAAGCAAATCTACAAATAGAACTAGTTGACTCACTACAACCTGTTCTTCTTGAAGGTGCAACAGTTAGTATTGAAGATTTAGAAAAAGAAGTAAGAAGACTGACTGAGCTAATAGAAAAGGAAGAGCATCCTTCGGCTTTTCACTACTGCAGGCGTGGAGCAATACAAAGAAAGTTAGGCAAGTTAAAGTCAGCTATGGATGACCTGGAAAAAGTAAGTTTAACGCCAAGTTTAACTTCTATCAGGCACTTTTTTTTTTTTTTTTTCCCCACACTGAGTGTCTGAGTTCTTCAACAGGTGAAGAACTAGAAACAGGAGAGCTGATAACTAGCTGAACACTGCCACCTTTTACCTTTGTATGGCAGCATGATCCAAGTTCAGTCCCGCAAGAATGAAAATGCGAGCTGTTAATAAACTGTGTTTATTTACCCTAGTGTTCTCCCAGCACCATAATGTTTCTTTGGAGATCCTTGCTCAGGATGCAACACTCCTAGATGGAGCTGGAGATAGGATAGACAAAAAGGCAGAAAGTCTTTTGCTTCAAGTCTTGCCGCTGGCAAAGCTGACAAACGTTGTTAATTTCTGCAAAAGCATAGTGAGCAAATAAATTGAAAAGTCATGTGTTTCCTGTTTATAATTAAACTATCTTTTGTCACTAAGATTTTATACAGTAGTAGTAGTGTTTTTCTATGTATGTTTATTTTTTCAACACTTTTAAGTTCCCTTTATAGTGCTACAAACCTGCCGTTACTTCTGCCCAAGACCTGCACAACTAGAAAGAAACAACCAAAACAGAATTAAAACACTGCTGAAAAAACAAAAATTAAAAGAATATTTTTAAAGTCTATAATGTAAACGTGGAAGCTGTAAAAGCTTTCAAAGGCATTCTTTAAGCAATGGTTTAGTTGTGTATGTTTGTGAAACCTGGGTAGATAAGTCATGTGTTGTACTTTGGATATGGAATTTTCGTTGTCATTTGACATCTATATTACACACAGCCAGTCATAACCAGGTTGTGACCCTGAAGTACTTCATCCTATACATAATGCCGTACAGCTTAACCGACTCTTAACTCAGCTTTTAATAGAGCATTTGGTGTTTGGAGAAGCAATCCTCAGCAGCTGCTTAGGGGTTCATGATCCTGGTCCTGCAGTGCTTGATAATGCAAGATTGAACCGGACCTTTTATGTTGATATTGCTGTGTGAAGGTAGAACACTACCAATCTGCCAGTGTCCCGGGAAACAATCTGAACAACAGGCACCTTTAAATAATGTAAATACCATTTATTTTGGTAAAGTGCAAAGCTTGATTGTTGGAATATTTGGAAATGTCTGGAGGAAAGAAACACTGAAGTACAATACTGTACAATGATGTACAATACAAGTACAATGTTGGTTTCTGCATTCCTTTCAGCCAACAGTCTCAAGCTACAATAAATTTTAAGGAGGCTCACAGTGTGTCCTGCTAGTGAGATCCACCCTTCAGATTTTACTCTATTTATAGAGTTTGTCTTTCTCAAAATGCATATTGTCTTAAGGTGAAATTTCCTTTTATAACACCATTTCTTTAATGCTTCTTTTGAGGATAAATCTATATATTTTATTTTATTTTTAATAGGACAGAGCTACCTATTTTATGTACCTGCAATCCATGCATATTACCTTCCAAATCTCATCAATTATCTGACCAAAAAATTTACTCAATTATTATGTCTTTTTTTATTCACTCCTGACTTTAGAAACAGACTATCAAGGATCTGAAAGACTAAAAATTCCACACTCTGGCAAAGTGTTTCATTGACCCATGGGCCAATATCAACTGTCAGAATTGCTTGCCATTTTTATTGCATATTTTAGTGAAAACATTATTGACTTTTCTCTTTAAAATATGTGAACATAATCTGTATGTAGTTTATGGATCCTAGAAATAGGTTATAGACCAAAATTCGAGAATTACTGTTGTAGCAGTACAGGCTCAGATTTGTATCAGTCTCTATATTAATTTCCATATCGCTTTTGAGTGTATGTTATATGCATAATGAATACATGTGAAATATCCTATGTGATTAGTATTATCTGTCAAGTGTTTTTTGTTAGGGAATGTTAAGGACTTTTTATAGGAATCCTAACAGCGTTGTTTGAAAAGCTGATTCCTTTTTCACAGGGACAGGTTAATTATTTCTTACTTTCAAATAGAAGAGCAATGAATGAGATTCTTTCTAAGCGTCTCTTCCCTGGGATTCTCCCAGAACATATTCTGACTTCTAGAAATAGTTCAGATAAATATTTTAAAGCAATCATCAAACATGGTAATATCCCAGCTGGTTAATATTTTGTGCTGAATATTCTGGTAGCTTGGACTCTGGTTCTGCATATGTGTAAATACATGATGCTTTTAAATAAACAAGTGACACTAGTCAAATTTTTCAGATCTTCAGGTTAAACGAAAATTTGCCAGTCTAGGAATTTTCTTAAAAAAAAAAATTCTGCGTAAAAGTTTTCTCATTTCCTCTGTACTATTGTTAGCATATTTCAGAAGTTCTATCTGCAAAATAAATGTTATTTACTTATTTTGTTTATAGGCTATAAGCTTAGAACCACTACTGCTTAATGCTTACTGGCATAGACATTTGATTTACCTCTTTCAAGACAGAATTTCTGCTGCTTTGGATGACCTGAATTTTATAACTGAAAGGAGCAAAAATAATACAGGTAAGTATCTATTGAAGTGGAACTTAACAGTTAATTTTTCATACTGTTTTTTCTCTCGTTGCATTTGACCCTAATTCAGCAAATGTTTTTGCATGTATTTGACCTTACATCAATTGTTTTATCCATATTATAAAATGACTGTAAAGCAGATATGAATCTTCAAAGGCTTTGGACAGAAGTTGGATTTCTAAGGCAAAACCAGATATTTAATTTTAGTGTGTTTGTTAAAAATGCAAAAAAAAAAAAAAGAAAAGGAAAAAAAGTAAAGGAGGACTGATGGAAATTGCATCCATTAATTTAACGAGGAAAGCTGATAACAATCCTGTAATGGGGACAGTGTGCTATTGTGCATTCAGTCAGTCCTGTTCTGCTATACCCTTAGAACTGGGAAGGAGGAGCTTAAAAGGGAAAGATACCACCTGGTTGACAGACCAGGCCCTGCAGGTCAGGGAAAGTGATTCCCCTCTACATGGTTGTGATGCTGCCCTTCCAATACTGTGTCCAGTTTTGGAACCCCTGGTATGAGAGAGGCAAGCTGGAGAGAGTCCAATGGAAAGCCATTAGGATGTTCAGGGGTCTGGAGCATAAGTTGTATAAGGAAAGGCTGAGGAAGATGAGTTATTTAGCCTGGAGAAGGTAAGACTAAGAGGGAAATCTATCCTGAGCTATGTAATGGCTGGTAACAGAGTAGATAGTCAGATTCTTCTGAGAGAAGCACAGCAGAACAGGAGGCAATGGTCACAAATTGCAAGAGGGAAATTTTAATTGGACGTGGACTTGGAAGACACCTCCCCCTTCTTCCTCTACCCCTATTTTATTTTTGTTGCTGAGAATGACATGATATGGTATGGAATATCTCTTTGGCCTGCTTAAGTCAGCTGTCCCAGCTGTGTCTTCTCCCAGCTTCTTGCCCACCCCCAGCCTACTTGCTGAGGAGGGGGTGGGAAGGTGGGGAGGGAGGGGAAGTAAAAAAATAAAGCCTTGATACTGTGCAAGCATTGTTCATCAAGAGCTAAAACATTGTTTTGTAATCAACACTATTTTAGCCACAAATATGAAACATAGCACTATACAGACTGTTATGAAGAAAGTTAACTCTATTCTGACCCAGTACAGTGGGGTTAATATTGTGTGGGCCTGTCTGAACTACTTATCTTCTTGATATTTGTTTGTGATCGACAGGTTTACACTGAATGGTTTGACGGGCCATTTCTACCAAGTTCTACAGAGAGGAAAGTTTTTTGGTACCTGTGAAGCCAGCAAGAGCTATCAGTTTACAGCTGAATGGGCTCCATGATTGAGCACACAGCTGTAGCTCTAAACTTTTGAGTTCTGTTGCTCAGATTAAAACAGGACTTCCTGACCTTTTATATAATCTACTATTTCTTCTGCTTGTGTTAATTTTAAAGAGAGATGACTTACTGTTTTGGGCTGCTAAGTAGTGCCTTTTATGTTTTGGGTGGTTGTTTCAGATGCGTACCTGTCAATGGCTGAAATTTATAGGAAACGAGGTGATAATACGTTAGCAACCATCAGTTATAGCTCTGCAATACGATACAGCCCTACAAATGATGACATTTATTTTAGGAGAGCTGAGTTGTATTTTGAGGAAAATCAATTATTATTGGCCATGGATGATTACGCCAAAGTAAGTTAAATTTTTGGTATTGTTACAATAATGTAGTAACTTTGTGTAACTTAAACTTTAATAAAAGTAAACTATATTTGAATATTTCTGGTAAGTAGCTTGGAGAACAGATATCCTTTTAAATACATGATTAAAAAAAATCAGTGCCATGGAAATAAGTCATTTCTGTTAATCCTGCCAGCTAATTTAATAAATTACTGAATGTCTACAATTTATCAGCTGCTAATAAGCTTGCATCACTACTCTTAAAGTTCATTTCATAGTCAAAGAAAATTGCAATTGATATTGAAGAACAAGGGAATTAAAAAGAAAATCTGAGAATAAAAAAATGTATTATTTTTATGTTTGGTTAAGACTTTTAATTATTAGAAATAATAAGAATGAGGAATAACATCATGTACTTCCTTATTTTTTTCATTATAGTGTTTTCAGTATAACCCAAAAAGGACAGATGCTCTTATGAAACATGGAATACATTTCTTTGATTGTTCAGTTTTGACTACAGCTATTCAGGATTTTACAGCTGTGATTAAGGAAGACCCCAGCAATGCTCAGGCGAGGTACAATGCATAGTTTGACAAAAGTATTTAGAGTTTAAGTGGATTATTAAAGTAATATTAATATGTAAAAGACTGAATATGCATTAAACAATAACAAACCAGTTGCATTTCCAAAGAGGTGTCTAAAAGAAATAGAATAAGACTTCTAGGCCATGATATCCACTAGGGAGTCTTTGTATTGCTTTAATGACTTTGGATTAATCCCTAGACCTCAATTTAGCTACGCACAGAACCATGTGCTCAGATCCCACTGGAGTAATGCAAATATAGAGTCAGTTGGACTTAAGCACGTGCATATGGGCTTTGCTCTAAAAAGATGAATTTAAATACATGTTCAAAGTGATATTGCTCTGTGGAAGTAGAATTTACATAGTTCTATGCCTAATTTCCATTGATTGCCTTGACACTTCCAGTTTTAGCATTATGCTGAATTGATGTTTTCTGTGAAAAATCTGAATTATGAATGAGAAGCATCTTTATTTTTGAATTATAAAGATAATTTTAAGGTTACAAAGACTGAAAAAAATTTATACGGTTTCCCTACTAGAAAATGTGACTTCTTTTTAATATCATTCCTGCAAAGATTTACATCCTTTTCATTCTCTATTCTGTATTCATGAAAATAGATGTAAAATAAAAATAAAGGCAGATATTCAATACAAGATCATGATACGTGAATTTAGGTGTCAGCTTGCTGTGTCCAGGGGATGTAGGTGTCCGAGCAGCAATTATCATGAAAGTCTCTAGTCAATACAGTTAGTAGATTCTAGGTAAACTGAATATAGACTCTTCTATAAAGCCAAGAGACCTATTCAGCTAAACAGCCAGTAAATGTATGTTTTTGGATGAACTGAATTGCTCTCATCTCCTTGGATTATATTGACTAGATCTTCATCAACTGTAATGGCAAGTCAGACACCTAATATATATTGTAGACATCTACAAACAGACACCTAAGTTCAAATGTCATATTCTGGAACTGATTCCCATCCGAATGGAATAGAAACCATAAAATCATAGAATGGTTTGGGTTGGAAGGGATCTTAAAGATCATCTAGTCCCACCCCCCCTGCCATGGGTAGGGACACCTTCCACTAGATCAGGTTGCTCAAAGCTCAATCCTGGCCTTGAACCCTCCCAGAGATGGGCCAGCCACAACTTCTCTGGCCAACCTGCTCCAGTGCCTTATCACCCTCAGAGTGAAGAATTTCTTCCTTAGATCTAATTGAAATCTACCCTCTTTCAATTTAAAGCCATTGCCCCTTGTCCTATCACTACACTTATAGAAAGTCCCTCTCCAGCTTTCTTGTAGACCCCCTTTAGGTACTGGAAGGCTGCTAGAATATCTCCTCAGAGCCTTCTCTTTTCCAGACTGAACAACCCCAACTGTCTCAGCCTGTCTTCATAGGAGAGGTGCTTCAGCCCTCTGATCATCTTTGTGACTCTCCTCTGGACCCACTCTAATAGGTCCATGTTCTCCTTATGCTGGGGGCCCCAGAGCTGAATGCAGTACTGCAGGTGGGGTCTCACAAGAGCAGAGTAGAGGGGCAGAATCACCTCTCTCAACCTCCTGGCTACGCTTCTTTGGATGCAGCCCAGGATATGGTTGGCTTTCTGGGCTGCCAGTGTACATTGCCAGCTCATGTCGAGCTTCTTATCAGCTGACACCCCCAAGTCCTTCTCTCTCAATCCATTTTCCATCCAGCCTGTATTTGTTCTTGGTATTGCCCTGATCCATGTGCAGGACCTTGCACTTGATGCTTTTGAACTTCATGAAGTTTGCACCGGCCCATCTCTCAAGCCTGTCAAGGTTCCTCTGGATGGCATCCCTTCCCTCCAGTGTGTTGACCATACCACACAGCTTGGTGTTGTCAGGAGACTTGCTAAGGATGTACTCAATCCCACCATCCATATGATTTATGTTGTTTAAATGTATTGTTAGCTTCCTGAATTTGAGGAAGCAATAGTGTAAAACAGTAGGATCTGATTTCATCAGCTTGTCTGTTTGGAAGAAATATTGGAGAAAAGAATGGATGTTTTCAGAAAGCTTTAATAGTCATTAGGGCAGTTTCATATTTTTTCTTTTAAATCAGATCTAACAAGATCTGGTATTTCCCGTAGAGAAACTGCTGTACCAATAGACTATGGAACTTGGAGAGAGTTCCATTCAACTCTGTGATGCTCAAAGCTGATGCAGGGTTCTATCATATTGAACTTGATTTATGCAAGTGCAGTGATCTGCCTATATGGTATAAATTACAGGACTTCATTCCTTCAGACTTGCTTTATTACATTCAGAAATAAAATTGAATGTTTATTCTATTTTTGAACATTTTTTTCCTGAACAATTACTTCAAGGTTGCATAACAAAAGCAATGGAAGAACTCTTAATGCTAAGTTCACTCAACCTGTTAATATTGTAAATAATAGCTTATGACTTCACATTATGGCTTCATTCTGTAGGTATAATTTTCTAAGGGAAATTATATTTAAAGAGAAACTTTCTTCCTTATTAGGCTGTATCGAGGAAGAGCATATGCTAAGCAGCAGCAGTATAGAAATGCAATGCAAGACTTAGCAGCAGCGATTCGTCTAGACCCTTCTTGTTGGTTAGCATTCTACTATAGAGGTTGCATACTACGACAGATTGATCCAAAAAGAGCTGTGCAGGACTTCAGTGTTTCTGGTATTGTTTGTTTCTTTTAATGGCCTACATGTTTATCATTGAAAAGAGGAATTACCATTCATCAGTAATTACTATAGTGTAATATAGCAGTTGATATTTCATGTTGAAAATGTTGACCTATATGGTTGTCATTCAGTGTTTGGTAATAACTTACTTCATTTCTATTAAGTTTGCTGTTAGACATTGACTCTTGCTTTTGTTGTTACTCTTCAGTTATTTTGCCTCAGCTTCCTAAGCTTTTCTGCTTCAATTTTAACAATTCGAGTGGGTGTAACTGAGCATTATAAATATGTCTTGAAGGTATTTTGTGACACATTGAACAGTTTCTATTATGATCTAATATGATATGTTATGGTTTATTGATGATGTTTTATAAAACTCTAACAAAGCTAAAGTAAAAAGTAATGTGCAAATTAGTTTTATGGAGTAACTGAAATATAGATGAATATCTGAACAGTTGATTTTTATTTTCCCTCTCCCACAGTACTCATCAATGACACTCAGGAAAATTTCGGTTCTTTTCTTCATCGTGGGATTGTTTACTCAGAACAGTGTCAATGGTCACTTGCAATCTGTGACTTTGAAAACGTTCTGGCTTTGAACAGGTGATTGGACTTGAGAATTTTAACATACTTTGTTTATATTCTGTTTACCCGTGGGCATAAAAGTACCAATAAAGTAGAATCAGAACTGTTTTCAGCAAATAAACTGGAATTAAACCACACAAACCCCACACATCTTCTTTTAGTATCTCTTGCCTCATTTACTATAGTCTAAGTATACTAAAAATAATTATTAATATATTTCAAAATTAAATTTTATTTTGCTTTATATGGCAACTTGGAAAACAAATTATTCAGGTCTGGCAGACAAAAGATGAAACTGAAGTCCTAATTAAAGTTGACTACTCATGCCATAATAGTTTCATCTGTCTTTTGGGGAGGCTGTCTCTCCACAATGCAGGTAAAAAGTAACTTTTTTGTTTTTTCATCAGAAGAAAATACCACAATGTTTTATTTAGCAAAAGCCAATAAATGGTGTCCCTGAAATAAAAAATAATAATAAAAAAATAGCTGCTTGTGATCCTTGATAGTTGGTGACTGAAGCTGTTGTGGTTCCTCTGAATTGCATTTCTTCCTACCACTTAAAAATACTTCAGAAACAGTTTATATCTGTAGCAGCCCTGCCACACAAACAATCCTGCAACATGCAGCGAGTCTCCCCTACCAGTCAGCTGCATTAATTGCTTTACTCTAAAGGTATTGAGTTCTTGTTCAGCCTCGGGCAACCTCAACAGGACTGTCTTGAGCAAAGGCTTCCATTCCAATCTGTGGCAGGCCTAAGGACCCCTCAGCTCTTCCTTTGTCTTGACTCTGCTATAGGAAGACTCGAACTTTGCCTAGAAACAGCCTGTAAAAGTGAGTTGCACAAGATTTTACAGATTCTGGATACCCAGGTCTCCCGAGCAGCTAGCCAAGTGAAATGACAGAAGATAAGAGAGAATGCTAGATAGAAAATATGTAAGCTTTGTCAGTCTTTTAAAACTACAATGTGTTTTTAGTGTTGAAGAATTCAGTATTTCGTGTTGTGTTCAGTATATACAAAATTACCAGCTAGCTGTATTTCTAGTCCAGCTTCTACGACAAAGAGACTTGTCATAATTTTTTTGCAATTCATATTTTGAGTGCTGGTTTTGGTGATCGAAGAGCCTCCAATGTGCAGCCAAATATCACAAGCTACTGAAATGGTGTTTTTTAATTAGCTGTCTCCTCTGCTGGCAATTACAATTCTATAGTTCAGTGCGATCACAAAATTGATGTGTAGTAAATGTCCTGAAAGTAGAAGAAGCCTGTATAAGTTGTGGTTAATACAATGACATATTTCATGCAATAACATAAGGAAAAAAAATTCTTGTTTTAGCTCTGTCATCTTTGCTTACCTAAATATTGGTTTGATACTACTGTTGCATCTTGATCAATATTACGAAGCTATTCAACAGTTTACTAATGCCATTGAAATCGATCCTCTCAATGTTCGAGCCTACGTATGTAGAGCACAAGCGTATCATAAGGTAATACATTCCTTTTGCTTTTGTTTGAAAATTAATATAGCCACTTATATTTATGGTTGTTGTATTTTAATACTTATGCCTTGATATAAGTTAGAAGATGTTAGAGCCTGCTTATAGCTATGCATTTCAAGCAGTCCTTGTCATCATAGTAGAATTACATACCTTGCAATTGTAAAGTATTGTTGGCATGTCGTGCAATGACACAAAATATTTCAAATGTCATTTTATCTTTTCTGCATCAGTGTACATCTAATCTAGTATTTAAATTTCTTTGTAATATACTAAAAATACTTTTAAAGAATATGTATTTTTTAAATATTAAAAAACACATTTTGAGGTACAGTGTTTTCTAAACAGAATTTTCTCAAGAATACTCATTTTTTCAGGAAACTCAAATTTTCTTCCCCATGAATGGGAGTAAAAAAAATTTCAATATTTTAATTTACTATGAAACAGGATGTATTCTACTTCTGCATGGGATCTGAGAATAGTTTCTGCTAGCATTGCTTTCTGAGACTCTCTCAGGAGTGCAAGGAATGGAACATTCAATATGACCTAATTTCTGTAGATTTCATTGGCAGAACTGAAACAATTGTGTCTCACAGAAGTTGCTTACACTGTTCATTTTCTTCCACAAATAAAGAAAATGGCTTTTAACTCAGAGTTCATCTAAGTGGATTGATTATATTTTATTTTTGTACTGTCTTTAAGAACTTGTGCCTGATATTTTATATTAGAGGTCATCCAATGCTCAGGTTGCTTTTGTAGGGGTTTTTGGTTGTTGTTTTGGGGGGCATTTTTTTTTTTTTAATGTCAATGTAAAGCAGTAAAATTAAGCTCAGTACATGCATTCCATCAATAATATCCTTAAATCAGAGTTCCAGTTAGCAGATATTCCAGCTGGATGAATCACTCCTTGGGATCTTCATTGTAATGATCTCCTTTCTTCTCAGCATCTAAAGCACAGTGAATGGGGCCACATGCACAGACACTTGAAAAATAAATGCAAATTCATTATAGCAATAAAGATTCATCAGAACATACGTGCATGTAGTTTTCATGACCTAATCTTCCCAATAATCCTGAGTCTTCTTTGGATTTTTAAAAAGTAAAGAAACTGTCTGGAGTTTGGATCTACCCTGTTGGAGAGTATGGAAACATGTAGGGTAAATGTTTCAGACCTTTGGTAAAAATATGTTGAGGTCCTTTGCAGAGGGCATATGTGCCTTTTGAGTTGCTACCATGTAGGCATTACATCCTGCAGAACCACATTTACATAAATAGTAATTGTGTCTCCAGTTGTGTTCGTACTAGCAATTAAATTGCTGTTTTTTTTCTTTATAAATTACAGAGTCATGATTTACCAAATGCTGTGAAGGATATAAACCGAGCCATTCATCTTTATCCAAATAAATCACAACTTTACATATTAAGGTAGGAAAATGATTAGTTGAGAATTTCACAGATATCTCACTTAAAAAAAATAATTCCATTTGGAATGCTGTTGGTAGATACCCTCAAGTTCTTTAAAACCTGCTCTAAATGGGTTTTTAAAAATGTAGTATTTTCATAGCGTTTTCAAACCTGAGGAACTTTATCTTCATAGGGTCACCCAACTATCGTAATTTTTACCTTGGAGGAAATAACCTTGTTTCATATACAGGATTCTGCAATTTGAGGTACATATGTTTTCTGGGGAAAAAGAAGTAAGTAGGTGCCATGACAAAAACCCCTAAGTCTGTACTTTAAAAAAATTAATAATTTTAAATGTTTTCCCCAAGTGGATAGTTCTTTCACTGATTTGTCTGCAGAATCCACATAGTACAAAGAATGTGAAGGATTGAGTCCAGACCAATTTTCATTTGAACTGTTCTTCTTCCCCATCTTCAGCCCAGTGAGAAGCAGTGACCATTATCAAGACTAAAAAATAAATTACTAGATAAAACTATTTCCTCCTCTGGAAATCCATAAGAACTAAGGAGGAAATGCTAGAATATTATTCCTCAGGTGTATTAGGAATTAGTTACTATGTTCCAGTCAATAATACTGTATTTTCCTGGTTTTAAGCATGGGTTTGCTCAGCTTGTCTCTCAGAGTGTGGTTTGGCTCGCATGACCTCTTATACTGATGCCGATATCTAAGGAGGCAAACAATTGTCCTTGGAATCAGAGTGTATCTATCAGCTATCAGTCTGTGGTGGATTTCAGAAACAGTATTATTAAGATTATTGTTGCAGTTCTTGAGACTGTGAGGATTGCTATTTGTGGAATCCCAAGAAAATGTATTTTTGTAATGCCTAAAATCTGAAGAGAGCATATAATTTTTTGGTACTGTGATGTGAGAGAAAAAAAATAAAAATTCAACAGGTATTTTGATGATACAATTGGAAAAAGTTTGCATGTTTTTATTGGAAGGTGTTATTTTTCCTTTTTTCATATTAAAGAAAACATATTTCAGTAGTTATTGCACTTTGAAAGAAATGCCTGGAAATAGTTTTACTAATTAAATCCAACAAATATTTAATTGCAGGGGACAGTATTTAATGGAGTTGGAGAAATATGAGCTGGCAAGTTTATGTATTCACCAACTTGCAGAAATGGATTTAGGTAATATCAATTTGCCATCAATTTTCCTACATAGTTGTGAACATTGGCAACAGTCTGTAACCAAGGAATTGTTAAAACAAAATTAAGTTCAAGCATGCAAATAGGTCAGTTACCATGAATCAGCTAAATTATAAGAACTTACTATCTAGAGTATTTTGTTTGCATATCTGAAGCCTTTAAAGGTAATGGTGGTGTACACTATTGCCTGTACTATCACCTGTAATTTCAGAATGTCCTTTATCTTTTGAGTTCTTGTTTTTTATTTTTACCTTTCAATATTGGTAATTTCTACTTTAAAGGAATGTTGAATAAGGATTCTGTTCTGTGTTTATGTATAGTCTTTCCTAAGAAAATATGAAATAGCTTTAGAACTAAACCTTTCCAATGCATTTGAACAGTAAAAATATTGCAGTACAGTCATTCCTTTTTATATGCTGGGCATAAAATGGCAGTCCGGAAGCTCTTGGTGAATCTATGTGAATAGCCACACTGTATGAAATTAATTTCCTGTCTCTGGTAGCAACTGAGAGTGGATACACAGGGCACAAGAATATAAAAACAAAGCAGGCAAATGGTGATAATTCCGTAGAGCAAAGCCTTCTTACATGTGGGGAGAGGAAGGTAAATATTTGTGGATGTTTAGCAATCAAACTACACTCATTGATAAATAACTATTCAGCTTCAGACTTTTGTAGGAATTTAGTTTACATCTGTATTTTTATGGATGTTAAAACAAGCTTTGATATTCCAAATATTTTAATAGCATTTTAAAGTTTTCATATAATTTAAAGATATTTTATATTGGAAAGTATATTGAAGTAAAAGACACTACTGTTTTTCATGGTGGTTTCCTTCCAGAATCCTTTGCATCTCAGCCTGTTCGGCAAGCACTCATTCAGTCATTTTGTCAAAATCATGATAAGGCCATAGAGTGCTTACGTGAAGCTACCGCAACTCAGCCTGAGCCTTCAATGTTTGTTATTTTAGGAAAAATACAAATGAAAGCCAAGAAAACTAAGGTTAGAAAAGTTTACATTATATATATGCAAAGCAAGATAAAGTTTTACTTTCTGTATTCTTTCAATATGTTATGAAATGTGCTAGTATTTATATAAACCTCTGGAGTACCTCATTGTTTAAATTATAAGAACACCTGAGTAAGAATTTTCAACAACAGCAGCACTAATAGTTCAGCATAAATCAGGCAATTTTAGTTTTAAGAGATTTAAGATGATTAAATAAAAAATACAATTACATAGATTGAGGTCCATTATATGTTGTAATTTTGTTTCTTTTGAAATAAAATAATACAGAAATGTCTAGCATTTTTTGTCTAATAAAATGCAATATGAAAGTTTGATTAATGTGTATGAACTGAATATCTAATGTATAGCTACAGATATTTTCTCAACTTTGTGAATATTGATATGTCATAGCATTTAACCAAATTGTCACTCTTCCGAGTCCTGCAGTGAGCAGGGCTATTTGAGGTGAGGACACTATTTGAGTCCTGCAGAATTGTCGAAATTGACAGTGTGGATTAACTGTTTCTTTGTGTACAGTCCTATTTGTTGATACAAAACGTACAGAATCCTGTTTCTCACAATATCAGCAAGCAACAGGTAGATTCATAAGACCTTGAATCTACCTTTCTGTTGAGTTCTGTATATGAAATGCATAGTCTTTCTGTTTCCTCTTAGCCTCATGTTTGCAGGTTCTTTTTAAATGAAAAGGTGTGCACTTTCCTCTTAAAATAAAGTATTTCTGAACTGCAGGAATAGAGAAAAGTAATTTTTAAATAGCAATAAATGCAGACCTGTTTTGTGTAAAACTTCTACTACCTTGACAACTTAGGGAGGCAAGTGCAGTATTTGCAGACAGCCCTATGGGCACTGCTATTTCAGACTGATTTTTCTAAACAAATACTTCTTTATTTTGAAAGATTCACTAAAGAAAAAATGTTATAATTCTTTAACTCTTTTTGTTATTGAAACATTCAACCATGGTTCCTTCATAATCTTCAAAGACTGGGGAATGTCTTATCTTGAACTGTTCTTAATTTTTTGGTTTTTCCTTACACTCTCCTTTAAACAAAAGTATTACTAAATATGTATAAATTATTGCCCAGATCTATGAGACATGATAAGATTCTGATAGGCTATTCACTTAAGTTCCTTCAGTCCCTCTACAGGGTTGATCCTTTCAATGTATTTCTTAATGGTTATTAAATATATGTAAGTTATCTGTGGAATAAATAGTTTGTCATAATTTACTTAAAGAAGCCGGTAGCAAGTACTTACTTATCATCAGACTTCATCAAAAGGTACAGATTTTTTTCCCAAGGAAATAAATATAAGTAAAATTGATAAATAATTATAACTATGTACCTAAATAACAGTATAAATTAACGGTACATTATTTCTAGATCATGTACATTAGCTACTTTGTCATAAATAAAACTCAGGACTATTTCTCTGTTTTTCTAATCAGTTATTAATATGAAACATTCATAGATCAGAAGTGTGTCTAACTCCAGCAACATCAAGGAACACTAGACTAGTCATTTTTTAGCATAATGTTCCAAAGACTAAGAAAAAAACACTGAAAAATAATGTCTAGCAGATCTTGTAGATTTCCAGTAAAGTGCTTTACAGTGATTAATATTCTCTGTATTGCAGGATGCTGTGAGAAGTTTTAAAAAAGCTATGAAGCTCCTGATGACCTCAGAACAAATCCTGCCTAATACATCTGAGGCTGCAGAAATGTATTATCTCACAGGCCTGTGTTACATGGAGCAAAAAAGTTTATTACAGGTTGGTATTAATTATATAGAATATATTAGCCTTTGATTCCACTGCTTTTAAACAACTATGATAAACGAGCAAATGATTTCAATATTTTAAACAGCCTCTACTGCCTTTAGCAATTTTCTTTTGAATCCATGATGTAAGTTAGGCTGTCTTGCAATTTTGAGAGTAATTTTTACAATGCTAATTTCCAGTGCTGATTTTTTTAATGTATGTCATTAATTGCCGTTCTGATAGAATAAAAAGCCTACATGAATTTCTTATCTGTTTATTAATGTCTTCACAGATCTTACAGACAAGCACCACTCATGTAGGAGTATCTGTGGCTTAGTGAATTGGTAGTAAACTTGAACAAACGAATTCCTAGATTATTGTATTGTGGAGCTGGTGGTGATTTGTTAACTGTTTTCTATATTACTGTAGCTCATAACACCCCTAGCTAGTTGTCTTTGGCACTTATGTATGATACTTAAGAAATAAACTGCATTATCTGAGAAAAAGATATTTCCCTTCTTTCAACAAAATCAATACTTTTAACTATATTAGAGATTTCTTTGTTGAAAACTATTGAAAGCCTATCAGTGAGCTTTGTGGCAGGCCTAGTGTGAGCTCATGCAAATGTTTTCTTTGTTGATATTTTAGTAAATATGTTTCAGTTGTTCCTTTGCTAAAAGACTCAACGCAGAAACTAGAAACATTTGGAATATCAGAATTTGTGGCTGGACACAAGGTGCCCGTCAAAGCTTCTCAGATGGACAGGGGAGAGAAAATATAACAAAAGGCTTGTAGGTTGAGATATGGACGGGGAGATCACTCAGCAGTTACCGTCATGGGCAAAACAGGCTCAACTTGGGGAAAATTAATTTAATTTATTGCCAATCAGATCAGAGTAGGGTAATGAGAAAATAAAAACAAATCTTAAAATACCTTCCCCGCCATCCCTCCTTTCTTTCCAGACTTATCTTTACCCCTGAATTCTCTACCGGTTCCCTGATAGTTTGTCGTAAGTGATATTCTTTTGGAGGAAGGCTGTCAAAATTATCTGAAACATCTTATGTAGTAATACATGACGATTGCAAAAGATGACTTCCTGTGTCATTGTACATCTGGTGTTACAGCTGTAGATCCTGGAAAAGCCTGTGACTTTGTAAGCTTATGTACAATGTACAGGAAAAAACTATCTGGATGGATTTTAGAGGAGTTGCATACAAGCCATGTTAATTCACCATCCATTATAATAAACAACTTCACTGTATTGGGTCTTACAGATGGAAGACCATGTGCTTAGTTAAACTTTTGCGGTCTTGCTGAAGAAACGAGATTATTAAAGGAATTAGATTGCATTAGGAAGGGTGTTAAACGTTACAAAATTTTGAGAAGCAGTAAATGGATGAAAGTGATAAACAATGCAGTTACATGATGTGTTCCAACTGCAAAAATAGGTCATACCAAGCTGTACTAGAGAATGTTAGCCTATGGTTTCAGCTGAACAAACAGACCCTATTTAACCCAGATGATATGTCATCCTTTCAGGCCCATGATGCTTTCAGTATGGCTATCAGACTGTATTCAAGATACCCTGATGCTTTTTATCAGCGAGGACTGTGTAGAATGCAGCTCAGACAAGCTAAGTGCATCCGAGATTTCAATCGAGCACTTGCCCTTTGTCCATCACATTTCCAGGTAATATAAAGACTCCTGATAGTTTGTTTCTGTGAGGCATTTTTGAATGGATTCAAAGACTGATGGGTTTTGCATTTATGGGTGTATTAACTTGTAATCTGCCAGCAAGCACATGGCAAACATTAAATAAAAGAAATTACAAGCTTCACAAGATGTATGTTTTTATAAAGCTTGTAATTTCTGTCTTCTATTTAACCCTTGTTTTATAATGCTAACCAAAGGTGGGTTTTTTTGCCACGTCATCATTCTGTCTTCATCTCTACAGGCATATATGAGTCGTGCTGCTTACTATGGAAGTCAAGGCAGATACTCAAAGGCAATTCTGAATTGCAATGAGGCGATCAAAATTCTCCCTAACAGTGAGCGAGCTTATTTTTACCGAGGAACTTTAAAGTATCAAAATAAGGTAGGTCTGTCTTTGGCATTTTACTTTTACATTCTCCCTTAAAACTTCATGTATCTTACTTGACACTTTATAATGGTGGAATAATGGTAAAAGTGTTCCTGATGGAAACCAGGAATTCCGCTTGATTGTTCTTCTTTCCATTCCCCATTGAACCTACTCTCTGATTGTTCTATGTAACTGAAAATGATTGATGGGTTGGAGAAACTACTGAGCATCTATCTGATTGTTCTCCTCTTAAGTTCCACAGAATGTATTCTTCCCTAGTGATAGACAGAAGTACCAAAACTCTACAAAAGACACCTTCTGTGTAGGTTAATATATAAAATATAAGATAGTAAACTGAACAATAGATTATGTATTGAATTATACGGATGTGATGTAAGAAAACACTAAGAATGTTTGTTTGCCTAGTCTTTGCACAAATAGAGCTTCTGAAGAAGTGCCCCCACTGCAGTAAGTAGTGCATACCAGTGAAGTGGTTGGATGCCTTCCAGTATTGATGAAGAACTGAAATGTAAAACTGTGAAATAAAATTTTACAATAGGCTATTATTTGAGGAACAATACGTAGTGCCATGAACTCTGAATTACAATTTATACATAGTGTTTTTTTGTTCACAGACATTTAAAGCTGCAATTGAAGATCTTTCAAAAACTATCGATCTCAACAAAACCTGCATTTTGGCATATTATAACAGAGCTGTCTGTTATCATCAAATAAAGGACTTCAGAAAGGTATAGTATTATTTTTTTTCAATATCACATGAGCACTCAGTTGTTCATATTAGTTAATAAACTGTTATTGACAATTAGTCAAAATTTCTGACCTCTTGCAATGCCTTCCTGAATGATTGTGCTCTTCAGGAAATTATTAAAAACAAAAGGGCTTTTCGGTCTCTATCATATAAATTACGTTTGATATTCCTTTGAAAATGCAAGAACTATATTCAGAGGACTACATCAAAACAGGGGTTTGGACTACATCCAACCCTCATTCACGGCATTGTTTTTCTGGATGTGTTTATACTTCTTTCAACTTGCCTGACCTGCCTCTAAGTGTTTCTGCTTTCTACCTTTGTTACAAAGCCAAGGCACAACAGGGCACACAAAGGCACCATGCAGCTTCAAACTGGGAACGCAATCATGTTGAACTGTCTTTTTGATGAGGCCTGTTTTTTGAGACAAGGCCAGTTCCTATGTATTTGAGCTTGGATTTCTCAAGTCGAATTGACCTTGGGCAAAGGCCATTTGTGCTTAGAGGTTAATTGGCCAAGAATGATGCAGGCAGGTAAAGAAAAATAGGTGATTACAGTAACTGAAGGTAAAAGTTTAAGATGTGAAAATGATAGTTCCTTCATAAATAAGGTATTATAAAAGTTATTCTTTGCTATCACTCTCCTGAAAAGCCACTTAAAGTATAACAGAAGTTGCAGAAAAAATGTAGTATATCACAGACGGAAGAAATCTGCTAGAGCTAACAAGAACTGGATTGTTTTCTTTAAAGCTATTTCTAATATCTAGCTTAGTTTAGAAGTGACGAAGAACAGAACTTCTCTTAAGTGACTAGTATGTGAAATACTGCAATCAAGGACATTTTTGTCATACTAGCTCTAAGATGTCTAGTTGTTCTTAAGTGTATTATATAGGTTCATCCTTCAGGTGAAAAAAGAGTTGGGCTAGAACTTCTTCAGATCAAGCATTGTTGAAATACTGTTCAGTTTTGATAAATTTGAGAATTAAGGCTTCTTCAGTCTACCTAGCCGTAGAAATTTGCTCTTTTACAAAATTTACACCCAAATTTAGTTAATATAACTAGTATTTAGATTTCTCAGTAACAATAAATTATATTTGAAGATACTTAATTTTAAAAATACCTTACTTTGACATTAATTCATGACTAATTAATCTAGAATAATATTTTTTTAAAAATAAGAATTTGGACATAAGATTTAGCAGTAAAAGTAATGAAGATTTATTTTTAACTCAGAAATTTATATAACGACAAAGTTCTAGTTATATCTGTTTAATATATTTGCATTATCTTTGCTTCTGTAGTCTAGGAATGGGTAGCTATGTAATTATAGAAGGCATTAAATTCAGTCTGGCAACAGTGAAACATTGGAATAGCCACATTGAAGTCCATGTATATGCACATGATTTGTAGGAATTTGAAAGCACATCTTTTAAATTTTGAAGTATCATTGCATCCCTCCAAATAAATTATGGTTTAAAATACATTTTATGTTTCTGTAGGCTTTGAAAGACTATGGAATTCTTCTTCTGCTTCAATTGAGTAAGCAAATAGCTTTTAAAGTGTTAATTAATCGTGGACTACTCTACATGGAACTTGGTGATGACGCTAGTGCGTGTGAGGTACAAAATCCTTCTTTGAGAAAAGGAAATTTAGAGTTTTCTGTTACATGGAAGCCATCGCTGATATAAAGACTAGCTTGACAGTTTCTATATTCTTCTGAAATAGTTTGTGCCCAGTTCTCATTTGCTCAACAGCTAATAGCAGTCTGACAGTGAAATTGCAAGTAAAATGAAGTTTTACTTTTACAATTTTATGCTGCTAGAGTTAAACATGGGAGCTGCAAAAAATTTAATAAGCAAGAACTTGATTTTTCCTTCTTTTTTAATCTTGAAGTAATTTATGCTGGGTCCAAATGAGTACTAATTCATTGCAGAAGCCTAAGTAAATGGAGGTTCTGATTGAGTGGGCTCGTTCTGTTCCTCTGTGCGTGCACGTATGTGTGAGTAAATGACCATTTTTGTTGAAAGAGTAGGAAGGGTCAGACCTCAAAATAATTTTCTTAAATGTAAGAAAATAGTATGTGTTTCTGACACTGACTCACAGTGCAGATGACTCTCTTATTCCGTGGGACTCTACCTGGTATAACGATAGCAGGCTTGAAACCTTATAGTGTTAAACGTAACTCTTTCACACGCACAGGTTTTTATTTTTGAATTTTAAATAGTTTTTAAGTTTTCTAAAAGTTTTGGTTTTTCTTCCCTTAAAAGCAGGAGTACTTATTTTCAGTATAACTGGTGCTTTCATTGCTTCCATTGTGGACTAATAACTTTAAAATATGTTATCTTCTTTATGTGATAGCAGCAATTTCAGCACAGGCATTCTAAAAATTGAGTAATATTTCTTATTTGCAAATAAAAAATGAAAAATGAATATGAATCTAATTCCAATGACTCAGAAATATCCTATGGGAAGTTCATAACAAAAGCTCTTTACAGTTGGTAGACCTTGCATAGAAATTAATTAAGTGGAAATATTGTGTTATTAGTTTCTTACGCTTCAAGATGCAACGGATCAGAATAGCTCAGAAAAGAGGCTGAGGTGGTACAAACTGGTATGTGAAGCCAGTAGAAAGAGACTGGGGCAGAACCAGCAGGAAGAGCGAAAGGTCTTTGAATGGATTGTAGTGAAGAGAAATTTACAAAATAGTACTTTATCAACAGACACAAAAATATAACAGCTAATTTAAGAAAAACATCAGTGATTGTAAATATGCTTGAGACCTTGTGTATCAGTTCTGATAATATATTATTACGAAGAGTGTGTCTGTATGCATGTATAGTGCTGGTTGCATTAGGATATAATTACTTAAGCACAGACACATGCTACTTGAAGTGAGTATGTTCCTGAACTAGGTACAGTGGAAGAAAAAGGAA